GGAATTAAATATCATTCTACCTTTTATTCCTACATTTCATCCTATCTAATTAAATGGTGATATGTGTAACATTTAATGAAATTTAAAGATATTTTAAAATACTAATATGACTAATGTTATTATTTAAATGGATAGGTGGATATTTAATTTCTCTTATATTTTTTATTAAAAAAATATATTTGGAAAATTAGGCCTATTTAGCATGTTGGGAAATAAAATAATTTTACATATATTTAATGTGGGTATATGTTAACTCAAGCACCATATCCAAAATAAAAACAAACCATAAGGATCATGCAAAAACAAGTTATAAATCCTAACAAGATGTGAAATTGGGTTATTTGACTTATTAATATGAAAATAATTTTAAAGGATCAAAGTATGTTCGTAAGTAACTCTCTTTCATGTGCAAGTGCAAATAACATAATTTCATTAGTTTTTTTTTTTTTTTTTGAACGACTAATATAACTCTATTACTTATGTTAATTAAGTATTATGCCTAACAAAGTATATTTGGACAATCGGGCCTATTTAGCGTGTTGGGTCTAATAAAAGAATTGGATCCATCAAGTATTATGTATTCAGCTAATCTAATGAAGATGGGCTTCTTAGTGTTGGGTTTATTTCAAGGTTGGACATAGAACTTGGTGTCACCTATAATGCTACTTGGAATTTAAATGGTCGTTAAGAAATTATCAGCTTGGGTAAGGTTCTATTTGATTTAAGTTTGACCGAGTCCGGTCAGATAAAAATGTCTTACTCGGTCAGATCAATATGAGTCAGTGTGTTTGATATATGGAATAAGATCATGAGACTTGGTCAGCACCCTCTGACTCGGTAAGTGAAATGAAAGTAGCTGACTCCTCTTTGTTTTCTTCACAGTTTTTCCCTTTGCATCACACATTCATTGACATTCCAGCTACCATAAAACCAAACATATATATGCCCTGTTCACGCACACAAGAACCAGGAAACCCACCACAAACACCATAACCCATGTTCATCCTTTTAACCCCAACCAAAAAATCGCATTTTCATGAGAGAGAATGAGAGGGGAGCACCCTTTTACCTGTTGATCGAGTTCAGGAGGATTAAAAATTGAGATCGATTGAAGTTGAGATTTGTAGTCACCTAGCTGTTCTTCCCACCGGTAGGGAACAGAAGTTGAGATTTGTAGTGGTGGTGTTATCATGGTCGATGGTTCAGGGAGGCATGGAAGTGCCCTGTAAAAGAGCTGCAACTTTTTATGGAGATTGGGTGATATCCCATTCTCTCTCTAGAATTGAATGAAAGGGAAAGTACAGAGAGAATAAAGGGTATGTATTAATTTATTAAAAGGAGGTTGAAAATACCACCGAATGATGTGATTGGGTTCTTCACATGTCCATTACATTTAGCTATATTGTTGTTTTTAAAATATATAAAATTTATTGTTCCTTAAAAGTGTTAATTTTTAAATGATATAGAGGTAATTCATGCATTACATTTGGAGCTTTTATTTATTTAATGATATTTTTCGAAGTTAAATTTGCATACAAAAAGATATATTTTAGCTGACATAAATAAAATAAAAGGTTAAAATTATCATTTTTCTCATTCAGCACAGTCAATCAGAAATATAATCATGGTTTCAATCAAAAACAGATGCAGTCAAAGCTTCTGACTCGGACATATCTTAGGACAGTAACTACCTTCTGACTCGGACAGATCTTAGGACAGTAACTACCAAACAGCCCCTAAGTATTTCACATGGTCTAAATTGAAGGATTAGTATGTGCAAGTGTGTTTGTGTATGTGTGTGTGAGAGGAGTGAGTGAGTGAGAAAGACTTTCACTTCTAGGGTTTGCCTTTCATTCTGTAAGATATATGGGAGGAGAATAGAGATGAAGAAGAGAGGGAAAGCTTCATTTCATTGGGAAACTTGAAATTAATGGTATTTGATTGTTCTTGATGAATCTTCATCAAATTACATTTGGGGAATCAGATAAGGCATCTCTTCCTTCCTCTTGAAGCTTTGGTTTTAAGGTTTGAAACTCCAATAGAGGATAACCGATTGATCTCTCTAGTTCAAGATTGATGGATTATTTGGTTAATGGAAGATGTTTACACTTTACACATGTATTTTAATGTCTTACTTTCAATTCAAGGAAGAAATAATGCGAGTTTTTGATGTTAAGATGATGATAATTGTAAAAACCTTTAATTGTAACATTAAATCGGGATTCTAGTGTTAAATGATATTTAGATTAGTGTTAAAACAATGTTTTGATGCTTTGAATCAAACTTGAGCATTAAAATTGATTTGTATGGCTATTTGGTGTTAAAAAGTGCAAAATCCTCGAGTTCTATAAAAAATAGAGTTTGCTATGACCTTGAATTTCCGAACGACTGAAAACTCTCTCAAGATGGTCCTAAAGAACGATGAATTAGAAAAAACAAATGATTAAAATACACAAGATAGGGATTTGCTCATATGATGATATATAGTGACATAATTTCGGAATGATGCAATTACAATTTCAATTGATCATCCGAAATATTATTGTATAATTTTGGAATGATGCAATTATAATTTCAAAAGTATGTACGATTAGTGATAATTGATGAATCAAAACTCTACAAGTAGATTTCTTTGTTCTATTTATCTTTGTTATATATTTCATTATGCATCCTTTCTTATATAGAAATACTAGGTATGAGACGCATGTATTACATGAGTTTATTAAAAATATATATATATAATTTTAACAATTTGAAAATTTTGAATTTATAAGAAAAATGACAAAAATTTTGAATTATTAAAATTAATGAAGTTTTAATATATTGAATACATTACATATATAAACCCTTTCTAATAAATATCTTGCATATATATTACCTTACATATTAAATGTGGAATATTAATTTAATAAAATGAAAAATACAATAAAATGACAAGTGGAAAATATAAAATTTTAAAAATTTAGAAAATCACATGTGTCTAAATGAAGGAGAAGAGAACATGTGGAAAAAAAAAAACCTTCATTTATTATAGTAGGCTAGGTGTAAGATCCATGTAATATACGATTTTATTAAAAATAAAATTTTAATATCAATATATAAATATGAAATATTTTATAATGTAATAATTTATATAACATAATGTAATCTTCTGAAAATTTGCAAAAGAAACTAAATCATTTAAAATATTTATGAGAATTTATTACGATGATTTTATTTCTTTATAGAACTCATTACAATTTTTTGGAATTTTATTTTAAGAAAATGAAAATTCTTAAAAAATGACAAGTGGAAAATAAAATTTCTAAAATTCTCATAAAATTACAAGTATCAAAACGAAAGAGAAGATAACATGCGGTAAAAAAACATTCATTTATTAAAGAGACTAGTTGTAAGACCCGTATATTATACAGGTTGATTAAAACATAATCTTAAATAGGAGCGATTAAATGAGATGTTTATTTGAATTTGAAATATGAAATAAGTGAAAATTATGAGAAAAAAACATACAAAAACTAAATTAACCAAAATTATGTGTTTAATTCTCAGACTCATGTACTAAACGATTTATTCTAACAAAATGTTAAATACAAATGTTTAAAGTGTAAATTTATTTAAAATTGAAATTTCAAATTTCAAATTTCAAATTAATAGTTTATGATAGGTTTAATTTATGGAAGTTATAATAATGATATATTGGAAATGAATAATGAAGTAAGAACAAGTGGAAAATAAATATATCTCAAAATTATAACAAAATGACATGTGGTCAATTAAATGAGAGAATGATAAGTAGCAATAACATTTTCATTTATTAGTGTAGATTAGCAATAATGTTTTTTCTTCAATAACACTCATTGATATAATAATGAAAATTTATGATGCCTTCTTAATTATAATATAGATGGTATCATAATAATATAACAATTTTAAACGTTGTAAATAACCAGGGATGTTCTAGGTGTGGTTTAGGGTCAAAATTGCACAAACTATATCGCAGAAATTTTGAATAAAAAGCATGTGGTCCTATCGGCTTTTGTTGTTTGATGTTCAGAAATACGTAAATTTAGCCAAATGTTAATAGATTTTTAATTATTATATTTACTAATAAAATATAAGAAACAAGTTAATCTTAGACATTTTAGACCACTAGTACCCTTCAATGCAATCTTAGACATTTTAGACCACTAATACCCTCCAATGCAATCTTCTTTATTCCCATTTCGTCCGATTAGTATAAGACCCCAAACTTGAATGGTTAAGAACGTTCTTGACGAAGCTGCTTGATGTTAAATATGATGAATTTTCAATAAATTTTTAGTGAGAAAAAAATGTTCTTCATATTTTATTTTGTTAAATATAGTTTATTCTTCTAATATACATTATAATTTTTAATTAGATAACACTGTAAAAATTTATAAATTATGTGTATTTTGAGTTTGGGATACTTTTGTCATTGGGAATGAATTTAATTCCGTTCCTTTGTTTATTCCTTCCTACCAAACATGGATTAATGATTAATTTCATTGCAATAGAGTAACCAAACATGACATAGGAATGGTAATGATCCATTCCATTACGTCATCTATTTCATTCCCTTGTTATTCCATTCCATCATACCAAACAGACCCTAAATATGAATTGACAAAAAAAAAAAAAATCATTGTTATTCCATTCCATCATACCAAACAGACCCTAAATATGAATTGACAAAAAAAAAAAAAAAAATCATTAAATTCGAATTTGTAGTCGTCAACACCCCATTTCTAATTTCCACTCTTATTACGAATCAGATAAAAATTGACTTTCCAAAAATGTATATCATCAAAGTTTATAGATAGTTGTGTTTCTTTGTAGATCATCTTGAATCGCCTTATCCAAAGTAATGAGAAGAGTATTGGAACTTGGATGCTCATGGCTTTTGAAAAAAGATATATAACACATAATGCAAAACGAATAACACGTGTCAAACATTATGGAATTAAATTACAAACAAATGACATCATGGAATTCTCTTTTAAAAAAGAAAAATACAAAATTACAATTGAACATTTTAGAGCTCATTTTGTGGCTACATATATACATCAAACTAAGTTTAGATATTAAAATGTTTCATCAATCTCTACCCTATCCAAATGATTTTACAAACATTTTTGAACTCACATTTTTCATTATTAAAATCCAACTTGGAAATTGTTTTCCATTTGTTTCATAAAATGTTTATGACATAACATGGTTTGTCACCTTATTAACATCTTATTGTCTCCTTCAAGTGCTTCAGGCCCGTTTGTTACACGTGACAAGACAAAAACAGACTGCTAGTCTTGTACTGTGTTTGACATGCATTAGACTAGAACAGAGATTAATACCAATGGTGGAACAAGAGAGGGCAATGACTCACTCTCGACTTCTCGTATGTGCAAAAGACGTAAATGCCCTCCTCATTTAACGAGCACCTAATACAAATTGAAAATAGTTACAACTTAAATTATGAGTTGTTAGTTCATAAATAGCCAATCACATTCAAATTTAGTTTATGATCATGAACAATCGAATCTCTAATTCATTCTTTTATCTTAAAGACTAAAACCATTTCATAATTTGCAAACAAAATATGAAAATACATGATTACCTTGGTCAACAACTTGAAGTCAATTGGAAAGATGATGAGACTTTGAAGTGGCATATCAACTTTACTCATATGCCCAGCTTCAAATCAAAATATTTCAACCTGAAATTTCATGTGGAAAAGATTATCATGATACGAATTTTAAAGATATTATTATCGACATATAAAGAAATTCATGGAAGGGTGATAATTGATAATTAATAAAGTAGAAACCTTTTTTCCAATACTTATATGCCATATGCATGTTTTCAATGGATGGATTTAACAAGAGTCTCTGAAAGATCTGTATCAAGAGTAAAACCTTTATTCATCATCTCATCCCACACATTACAAGCCAATGAAAGCTTCTTTTCATGTACAAGTCCTCTAATAATCAATCTAAATGTCACTTCATCTGGATACAAATCTTCAACTTTCATCTTCTCAAACAAATCCATAGCTTCACTTACCCTAAAACCCTTACAAAACCCACCAATAATCGCATTATAACAAACAACATCAGGTTTAATCCCATCTTTCACCATATCACAAAAGATATCATAACCCATTGATATTCTCCCTGTTTTACACATATGATCAATATAAGTTGTATATAATACACGATCAGGTGATAACCCCATTTCTGTCATTTTATCATAAAGCTTCTTTGCCACATTAAAATCACCTTCTCTTAGAAAAGATTTAATCAAAATGGTAAAAGTAACAACATCTGGAAGAATACCTTGAATGCCCATTTCTTTAAATAACTCGTATGCTTTCATAGTGTTGTGGGGCCCTTTACAAAGAGCTTTAATGATTGTGTTGTAAGATACAACATCAACTATACCTTTCACTTCCATTTTTCTCACAATTAACATGTATGCCTTTTCTATACGATTCACTTTGCAAAAACCTTTGATGATTTGGTTGTAACTATAACTATCAAGCTTCATACCACTTCTCTCCATACTCTTCATTAGCTTTTCAGCTTCTTCTAACATCAATTCATCACAATAATAATTCAAAAAGATGTTGTAAGTAACCAAATCAGGTGGACACCCGTTTCTTCTCATAAAGCTTTTGATTGCTAGTGCTTTATTAAGGCAACCAGCTTTACAAAACCCATGAATAAGAACATTGTACACTTGTGTGCTGAAGGAAAGTTTCATGAAACCTACTGTTAATTCATAAGCTAAGTCAACTTTTCCAACATTACATAAACCCAATACAAGAGCTCTACAAGCATTGGAATCTGGTTTTATACCTTTTCGGATCATTTCATGCCACATTTCAACAGCTTCATTGAACTTTTTAGCCCTCATTAGACCGTTTATAACAGTGGTGTAGCTCACAACATCAGGTTCTTTACCCTTCTCGACCATGTTTGTCAACACTGTTAAAGCTATGTCCACTGAGCTTTCAGAACAGAGAACATTTAAATACATATTGTATGCCCACATATCAGGCACAGCTCCTATTCTATTCATGTCTTTTAAAAGTTTATCAATCAATCTAAAGTCTTTAACTTTACATAAACCACATATAAACCTTGAGTATGTGAATGAGTTTAAAGAATACCCTTTTGGAATCATGGCATCGTAATACAGTTCCACTAATTCGAAACGTGAATGACATACCAAAACGCCAATGATTCGGTTGTAGTCAATGCTGAAAACTCGACAATCTGATTGAGACATTTTGTCGAACACTTGGAGGGCTTTGTCTATGAGACCAGTTTTAACGTAGTTTGATATGAGGGAACGGTATATGAGCCGATGTCTACCAAGAGCTCTATACATATCCAACTGGGTATCTCAAGATATACATATCATCAGATTGTGTGAACTCCGAGCATGAAAACAAACTCGGAGATGAATATGCTCAGATGGTGAACTGTAAAAGCAGAAATGAATCGGAATGCAGAATTACAAGACCGATTTGTCTTGTTTAGTTGCAAATGCACACACGAAACACAGACGCACTGAAAGAAATGTGAGATACCTGGTCGGCCGTGGAGTAGACGGCGAACGAGTGAGAGAGAGAGGGAGAGAGAAGAGAAACATCGATGGACTCGGATACTGAATTCATATGGGTTAAGGTATGTGGGCTTTATGTTTGGGCCTATATATATAATATGCCTAATAGGAATTTAATTAAATTTTGGTCATCCAGTTTTAAATTATATCATATTCTGGTTTAACTCAAAAGCACCTAAAATACGTTTTCGTATATCTCCTCAAAAAAGTCTGAAATCAGACCGATCTTAAATAATATTGACCAAAAAAAATTTTATTTATTCAGAAACCGGTCGCACAAAAGATTGGTTTGTTTCGAGACTAACCAGTCTCAAAAAGATCAAAAGCCAAAATTTATATATATATATATTGTTTTTGTGTTGGTTACATATTTGTTAATCACAAATTACCAAATTTCTTCTTAATGGTCATTTTGGTGTTAATAACACATTTGTTAATGAAAAAACTTAAAAATTAAACCAAAAAACCTAAAAATAACGAAATTGAACTGAATTAAACCTTCAAAACTTAATCCAAAAGGTACACATGAAGACAGTGAGACTAGAACGAAAAAGATTGAGATTGATCCCAAAAGATCAAATCAAATGAAGAGTGGTCTAAAAAAATTAAAATAAGAATGGTCAAAAATCATCCAAGACCGATTTGAAAAAAAAGGACCATTTCGAGAGTATACAATTCCTAAAAAGGCCGAACAATCTTGAAACCAACCCATGACCATCAATATGCATCTCTACTCAAAAGTTGAGACTTAAACCTAAATTTGATCTCAAACTTGGAATATGGTTTTTAAGTTTGGTTTGGACTTGAAGAAATGAACAAGTTCCTAGAGCTTGGTATCAAGACTCTCTCCAACTTTATGATCAAGTGGTGACACAAAGAGATATATTGTACTTTGAAAACGTCAACATAATGTTGTGAATTCACATGTTAGTATAATATATTTTAGGATATTTTATTAATCATAATCTATTATATTAACTAGTTGAAGGCATCCCTCTAGGTAGTCGGTTCCTTAAGGTTTTAGGGTTGTATTACCATGAACCCCATAATCAACGTTGTGGACTAATAATTTCCTCTGCACGACGCTTCATCAAACGTTGAATGTTACTTGTATATAATAAAGAAAGTTATCATGTCAGGATTGTAGCTAGCAATTGTAGGTGGGGTATCCGTCTCGTATAGATCTATACATATTTTACTGACTCTCGTAAGATTAACTATTATAGGTTCGAGGTAGTAGAATTTTAATCAGGCTAAGGATGAATAATAAAATCTTACTAACACATTAACCTTATGTATTTTATCTTTTCTTTAACTCTTTTACTTAGTAACTCCAATAATTATCATAATGTAATTTTTTTACTTTATATTTGATAATTATAATTTATATATATATATATATATATATATATATATATATATATATACACACACACACACACAAAGATAATTATGATATATATATATATATATATATATATATATATATATATATATATATATATATATATATATATATACACCCTAATTATGATTGATTTGACAACAGGATATTTGGGCAGAGTAACAACTAAATACAGTACATATCTATATAATGGACCAACATTATTTTTAGGTACTATGTTATCCTATGAATTTGGCAAGTATAACATCTAGGAAACATCGTTTTCTAGACCATTGGGCATCATAACACTTAGGCATAATAGCATACCTTACAACTACGTAAAGTATTTGTGGTTACATTATCCTAAGGTTTCATGTTTTATAACTACAAATATATATATATATATATATATATATATATATATATATATATATATATATATAACTTTTAAAATTGTAAATTGGGTCCGTGAAGTCATAATTAACACGTGAGACCGTTGATGTAGGGTTAAATAGGGCTCGGGGATTTGGGGATCGCCTAGGGTAGCAACCACTTTGAGATCAGAGAGAGAGAGAGAGAGGGAGAGAGAGAGAGAGAGAGAGAGAGATTCAGAGAAAGTTGTGCAGAAATGGTTATGCACCGCCTTCTATTTATATGTATGAATTTGGGGTGCGCGTGATGCAAAGATTCGTGCGTGTCACACGTGATCATCGTGGCTCCATCCAGAGGTTGCCACGTGTCACCTCCTCACTTGGCCACGTATCTCGCAATCTACTCGAATCCGGTGTCAAGTGCGTGATGGGCATAAGCGCGCACCTCGCGTGCATGAAATGATTTTGTAAAAATTATAACTCTTTCATGTGAGCTCCGATCTAATCTCTCTTTATATCTTTGTGATGATCTCAATGAATACTACAACTCTCATTTAGGTTGTTTTAGCTAGTTTTAACTTTAATTTTTATGCCTAACGGTGGTAAAAATAAATGATTTTACAAAAATCATCTCTCTCATACGGATAATAAGCGTTAAAAATGATTTTTTATAGAAAATTATCTACGATAAATAATCTTAACCAATGTAATAGTTAGAGTCAACAATTTTTACCTGTATGATGTAATAAAGAAAAATTACATGAATATTACGTATTTCATGATTATTTTAATATAATAAAATAGAAAAAATTAGTCGAATCGCCCATAAATCGTAAAAATAAATGCACCGAAACATATATATATATATATATATATATATATATATATATATATATATATATATATATATATATATATATATATATATATATATATAGAAAGTGCACGTATTCCCGATCCCGAAAATATAAATTTCATAGAAATCCGACTCCTCATTAATTAGATATGATTTTTATAAATAAGATAATGGGGATGAGAAGTTAGGTTAATTGTTTGATAATTAAGCATAATAATTATATTATTGTGGGCTGAAAACTTTATGTACTCACCAGGTTTCCCAACCTGACCCATTCAATATATTTGTATCATAGATATCGATACGAAGACGCATTACACTGAGAGATTAATGGAGATGTAAATTATTAGTGTAAATGAATGTAAGGTATGTTTATGCTTATGTTTCTGTATTGACGATAACTTCCCAATGTTTTAATATAAATAAAACACATTTCTTCGGAAATGTTTTGATAATATTATTATCATGTTTTTCTGGAAACAAATTCCACAATACTACTTTTCAAAAATGATACTCTGATTTTTAAATAAACATAAATAAAATTTTCAAAATGACTGTGAATTTGGGGATGTCACATTTGTCCTAAATTTTATATCTTAAGGAGAACTATGACTCTCCTTTTTGCAATTTTAGTCAAAACCCAACCAATCTCTAAGTATTGTTTTGATGTAATTAATTTTAAGAAAAAACATCAAAAATGGTCCTTGTGGTTTTCCAAAATCTGAAGTTTAGTCCCCGTGGTTTAAAAACCTCATAAATGGTCCCTATGCTTTCAAAACTTTTGACGATTGGTCCTTACTGCTAATTCCGTTAAGTTTTGTCCGTTAACTGAAGGGCATTTTCATCATTTCACTACCACAGGAACCATTTATGATGTTTTCTCATATTTTAAAAATAAATAAATAAATAAATATATAAAAGGTTTCTCTCTCTCTCTCTCTCTCTCTCTCACGTGTGCTTTTTAATACCCAAAGACACATTTCACTGCCATCATCTTCTTCAACACCACTTCTTCAAACTCCAACTCATATCAGCTTGTTGCCACCATTCTTCCTTCCAGCCACAAACACCATGATAACAAATCCAAATCGCTATACCTCTGCCTCTTTCCTTCGCTTCGAATTTCTCTCTGGCAGTCTTCCTCCATTCATTATGCTCGTCAAGAACATGCTCTAGAAACCGATCGAATTTCTTACTCACAGTCTTCATCCTCTTCACATACCCCTATAAATCCATGAAATCGATCCACGATATTGAATCACCGATGTTAAAAACACCGTTCAATAGAAACAACTCGTACAACATCTTCTTGAACTCGTCCGGACTCACCACCGAGTTCGATTCTTCGTCCAAATACCTTTTCCCCAAAACCATCCGGCTAATCACGTTCAAGCTCACCGTCGATAGTAGATCCTTCAACAGGATCTCCTCACCAGCTATTACAAAAATGGATTTCACCAGTGAATTCGTCTCCTCCACTCGGATGTACTCGTATGATTCGAGGCGCTTAACATTAAAGCTACTCTCAGCTTCCGGATCATCAATCAACGTGCATATTTCGCGTTTGCATTATTCACAGGCGGATTAGAAACTATGTGACAACTTTGAATTCACTTGTGATTTATTAAATTTTGCAATCTATGTGACTAATCAGTAATTGGGTTTTCTGAATTACAGCTGAAATTGTGACAATTGTCAATCTTGAGTCAAGTCAAGTCGTCAAGTCAAACCGGTCAACTCGATTAAACCTTGTGTATTAGGGTTTGTGTTATGTTCATACTGTATAACTTGTTATATTAATGGGAAAACAGCACTTGGGAAAAGACTTGTGTTAAAATTTCCTAGGCCTTAGTGCTAATCAATGAACTAAACTGATAAAAACCATGTTACATACTCATCGGGAGTGTGTAGGATCCTTAATCACGACTTAACGGGGCTCAAGAACCTTGCATTGTGGGGCCAAACACTCAAAATTGTCACACGTGGAACCTCTCTCAATCATTTTCACTCTATCTCTCTCTATGACAAATCTCTCCCAAATCTCTCTCAAATATCTCTCTGTATGAGAAATCTCTCCAAGAATGTCAAATCTCTCCCAAATCTCTCCAAGTATGTGAAACCTCTCTCAAATATCTCTTTGTATGAGAAATCT